AGTGGGAGCCTGGTGCAGGTGCAGCACCGCAGTGAGCAACCAAAAACACTGCGGGAACAGCCTCTTCCTGCCCCTTCCTGACCTCATCCTCTCTCAAAGCAAATATGCTTCTCTTTCAGGGGGGAAGATATCCTCTGTTGCTGTGGGCCAAACAAGAAAAGGAGAAAAACAAACAGCCCCAGCTCCCGCTATCTCTGGGAAGCTGTCTGAGAAGGGTTGGGAAGAGCACTGTCTGCGCCACGTCCTCCAGCCCTGCAGCTGGGCAGCAGCAAGCTGCAACACCACCAGCACCAGCAGTGCCTCACCAGGGCAGGCAAACATGTGCATCTTCCCATTTTATAGGGAAAATATTGACTTGGCCTCCAGGCCAAGTGCAAAGACGCAGGATCATAGAATTATTAAGGCTGGAAAAGATCACCAGCCATCAACCCATCACCACCGTGGCCACCAGGCCACATCATGAGACACCACGTGGCATCCTGGAGGTCAGTACAGACAGCCGCCCTCCCAGGAGGCAGAAGTTCAGAAGATAAGAGAGGAGCAGGATGCGTGGTCACTCGTTGGTCCTCCAACACGTGGGCCCCATCCCAACAGGACTCCTGCCACCACTCCCAGTACCACACAGACCTACATGGAGCCACGGTGGGGCAGGGAGAGCACTTTGCCTGCAGACACACAGCAGGGATCACTGCTGCAGAGTGGTAACAGCTTTGTCCAAAGCAAACACCAGCAAGAAAAATACATCATGAAAACAACAAGCTCAGAGGCGAAAACAAAGCAGCCACTTTCCGTGTGTTCTCTCGTTAAACGGCGGTACTGTGAGGAGTGAGTTGGGATATTGAACCAAGATGTTCCAATACAGGATTTGTCTCTGGCAGCTGGGCTGTATTGGAAATTTCCTTCCAATAGGCGCTGCCAGAAAGAAGCTGACACTGACAAGAGCAACCTAACCTATGCTGAAACTTCTTTCTTTTATATTGAGGGGAAAAAAACCAACAAAACACACCGCCTTGTTGTCTCTAGTTGTCTTTTCAGATTAAGCTGACAAATCCAAGAGCTAGATTTTAGCTGGTATCTCAGTTCCAAAGGCAAACTGTGCAAGCAGGCTGTTTCCCTATTACAAATAAAAGCATTACTTTCAAACCTGCAGACTTTCCAAAAGTGAAGAACTGCATCCAAGCACGCTGACCTTTTTCTAAGCTCTAAAAAATGTAATAAATGCAAACTGCAACAGCATCTGGAGCCTGCCCCAACATCTTGAATTCACATTCTCATTTGCTGATGACAAATGCTCTGCATTTTTCTTACTTTTTTTATTTTAACAGATTTGCTCCCAGAAACCACTGCGTAGAGCAATGGCTGCTCTGGAGGACCCAATGTGGGGATGTGAGGGGGACCATGTGGCAGCTTCATCTTGCTATTGGGCTTCCATCCACAGCTGTGGGGGGGGGTGGAACAGAAGCGCAGCTCATCCTGGTCTTACAAAGGGCTTCTGGTTATAAAGTGGCTCCTGGCACCTCAATATTCCCCAGGAAAACCTGAGCACACAACGCAAAGTTAACTGCAGCAATGCAGTACCTGCGGGATAACTTTGAGCATTCCTCCCACTACTGCAGTCTTGGAAGAAACCAATGATTATATCCCAGAAATGGGCCACAAAGTTCAGGTTTAAGGTCTGAAAAGGGAAAACCAGTACAGTTCTGATTCCACCATGGTGAAACAGGAATTAGAGGCAGCTCCCAGTCCTGCTAACTGGGTACCTGCTACAGAGCCCAGACCCAAGCCATAAGGACTAAAGCACACAGCAGCTGTGTCTGCAGTGCCCTGAGCTCAGTCCTTGACTGCTGACTGCAGCTGGAACAGGAATACAGCAAGCTGCTGGCCTGGGGATATGGAGCTGGAGGGACACCCACAGCTGCTGATGGAGTCTGGCTGTCCCACACCCACTGCAACAACCACATGGAGGTTGCACAACATGAGCATCTCTGGGACAACAGCAGAGAATGGAGCTGTTTGATGGGGGTAGCAGACAGTCTGGGGGTGAACTGGCATTGGATACCTGAGTGATGCTATGTCGGGTCCCCACCACGCACAGCATTACTTGGGAAACGCTGCCTACACTTCATTCATCGATTCCCCATTAGCTAAAGGTCAGTGAAGCCTTTGTAAAAAAGCTTTGCACTCTCAGCACAATTATTCCAGATGACAAAAATACTTCTGATTTACCCAAGAGCCAAAATATATATAGTCTGAAATCAATAAGGCACGCAAAGGTTGAGAGAGGGGAAATAGAGATGGATAGAGGTGCCCAACACCACTGAAGGGTCAGTGGCACCAGCCCTTCTGCCCACCCATCCCCTCTATGGGTCACGCTGCTTTTGCAAAATAATTCCTCGTGGCATTTCATCCCAGTTAGAGCTGCCGTTTTAAAGAAGAGAGCCAGCCTGTCCCTGCTCTGGTTGGTGATCTGGGGACAGCTCGATGTGGGCATCACTTTCCCACAGAACCCGGGGCTCTGACCCTGCACCTCGTGTCAGCATCCCTCACGCTCTCCCTGCTCACCCTCACTCAGCCCCCGCAGCCCTTGCACCCCCCAGCAGCACATCCCAGCTCCCTCCTCTCCCTGCTGACCACGCTTTTGGCCATGCTGCCTCTCTGACACACACCATGCTGGCTCATCCCTATCCCTGCTCCTCCCATTTTTCCACAGAGAACTGTCCAGGATCCAACCAAAACAAGAGGCGATCCTGGGCACATTCTCTTCCACCCATTTTGAATTCTTGCAGTGACAAACACTGCAGCTGCAGCCTCCCTGCTTCAAAATGCAGTGCTGCCAGGGCCGGGTGCCATCCATCCACCCCAGGCACCAAACACAGCGAAGGCACTGCCCAGTGGGCCAGGACATCTCCTCACTTGGTTAACACGTGGGTCAGATGGGGCTGGGTGTACACTGGCATCAGTCTGGCACTCAGATTCAGCGCAGACTGAGGATAAGAACCTGAGGACATAATTGTGAAACCCTTCACTAGGGGAAAAGCAGTGCTTCAGTGCTCAGGGACATCGCAGCCAGCTGAGCCCCTCCGCTCTGCCCAGCCCTGGGGACACCCAAGGACACCACGCATAGCAGACAGACCTGAGGAACCCACTGCACCTTCAGGCCAACCAGGGACAGAGCCGTGACCTCTGAGCCATCCCCCAGCTGGGTTTTGCCCAGTTTAAAGCTGCACATGGAAAACATGCCCTCACCTCAACGCCGTGGTGTGAAGAAAACGTAGACCATGGTGGGAGTCATGTAGTCACATCAAGGAAAATTCCTGCTGCTCCACATTCCTTGGGATCACCATCAGCCCAGATCTCACAGACAGAAAGTTGAAGCAATAAGCAGCAGCCTTAAGGTGTAAAGCAGAGAGCAAAGAGCAGCACAGCCAAGCACCTGGCAGCTGCCCCCAGGACAGCTGCTAGCATCACCACACTGTTCTATTGGCATTGTTCCATGTGCACCTACAGGGTAAGTTGTAAATGATCTCCTTGCACACGACTCTAAGAGCCTCTGGTATTTTGTAGCAGCAATTAATTTTTCAAGCCCAGGGAAAGGCTCATCAAAAAGCCAACAGAAATGTGACTGGAAACTTCCTCTCCCCCCCCCCCAAGGTCATGCTGCTCTCAACAGGAACCAAGCTGAGCTTCCACAGTTCCTCCACTTCCTTCTTTTTTTATTTTTACTTCATTTTAAGCTATTTCTGCACAAAAGCCAAGACACAGCAGAGCTGGGAAGACAGTGGGCAGTGATACCAGCACAGCAGGGAGGCAGTGCAGCACACATGGGGATGCAGCAGCCAGAGGGACCCTGCTTTTGTGGGAGCCAGGCAGGGGGCAGCAGCCCACCCAGCAGCAGCAAAGCCCAGGAGCAGCAAACAGGTTCCAGCTCGGCCTCTGCAAAGCTGCCACAGCCCAACTGCAGGCAGAGCTGGATCCACTGCCCAACATTGCTGCTCAGCTCTTCTGCAGCCAAATGCCAGCCAGCCCATACAGGGACAAGTGTCAATCTCCACAGCCCAAGCTGTATCCTTGATTAAAGCGAACAGAACTACCTTAGTTCTGCTTCAGACCACGCACTGCTCACTTCCATTTCTTCCCCAGACAGGCATCACTGTCCTCATTAAATCCCATCTTTCCTTTTTCCCCTACCCCCAGTGAGGTTTCCAACTGTGGGCAAGCCTTTACGTCGGAGCCACCTCGTTTGCCTGTCCTGTCATCACACCCCGCACCCTTCCTGGCACTGCTCAGCACCACAGCCACACGCAGCCCTGCCAAGTCACCGGCCTTCCCCGTGCTCCAGCTTACATAAGGAGGAACAAGCTGGCTTTTCTTCGTCACCCCTTCAATGCTGCCATTCATCCCCTGCCCTCCACCCGCCCGATGCCACCTTGAGGGATTCAAAGCACACAGCCAAAAGCCTTCTAGCGTGATCCGAGGGCAACTTTTTACTCCATGATGATTTCTCCACACTTGGTGGCTCTACAGTTTTGTCGCCAGAAATGAGTGAAAGGGTTAAAGGGAAAATGATTGAGATTTGAAGGAAACCACGTGGTTAAGAACACCCCGTACCCTGGCAAAGCCGTGCCACTGCTCAGAAAGCAAAGAGCTCTGAAGCCTGACAGCCCTTCCCTGGAGCACACAGGGGCTGTGGGGCTGGGTTGCATACCTTGTGCCATTGCAGTGAGTGAGGGACCCCATCTGTCACATGGCTGCAAAAAAGACCTTGACTGCAATGCTGAGCATGCACTAAAGCTGGTCTCAGTTCCACCTGGAAACATCTCAGTCAAACCCCTGGATATTTTTGCATCCACACATTGGTTCTGCCTCATTGGGCACCAGGCTGGTTTTGGCCAAGTGGTCAGAAGCAAGCCAGAGGGAGAACAGGACGTAATTTTGCAGGCTGAGCATGAAACAACAGAGCCAGGTTTATTTAGACACAAATAGGCCACTTCAAAGCATTTTTCTACCTCTCATAAAATCAGCACTAGCATCACAACCATCTAAACTCACAATTTTTAGCTCTGACTTCAGGCCAGCATGCACACTGCCTGCCCTCGCCGGTCATTCTGCCATTGACAAATACTGAATTCCAGCTCCTTCAGAAAACTGAGGGGGGGTTTAAACCCTTTGTCCTTCTCTCTCCCCTACGTACTCTTTTACATCATCAGAACAGTGCAAGAAACCCACAGAAAAAAAAAATATAAATGCACATTCCTAAAGCTGGAGGCTCTGTCCCAGTCCCCCCAGTGGCCTCACCACAAAGCTCAGAGCAGCCTGGGTTGCCTTTGACTCCTTCACAATACATTCACAGCAGTGGGAGGGTGGGGAGGAAGGCTTCAAAAGGAAGAAGCAGCAAGGAGCAGGCTATGGGGAAGCAGCAGCAGAGCAAGCCCTCTCCATGTGAGCCTCACTGCTCTTCTCTGCAGGCACTTAGGAGAATGGCTTTGGCTGGGTATGGGCTTCCAGACATTGAAATGGCTTAAAGCAAACGCAGGCTGGGCTTGACAGGGTGCCAGCCCTCTCCCACCACCACCCTTTTACCACTCGAGCTCTCCTGAGGGTGAAGCCATGAAAAATGCTCTGCCTGGGACAAGCTGCAGCCGTGGCTCATGATGTGGTGTAGGTGAGGATGCAGCTGCAGCCAGTTTGCAGGATGAGCATCACAGAGGCCCTGCAAATGAGCACAGCTCGGAGGGGCAGGATTTGGTCAAGAGGTGCAGTGGAAGCAGCTGGGAGGAAGTTTGCACAGCTCGGGCAATGCGGTGCTCATCAGCACATCTGCGCCGCGTCCCCAGCTGCCCATGTCTGCAAATACTAAACATCAATTAAATGGAAATTAGAAGAGGAAAAAAAAACAACACAAAAAACAAACACGTTGTAAAGACAACAGCCGAAAACATCCACGCTGTAACTTTGAAGAGCAGGATGAAGCCACCCTGAAGAAATGTAAATATTGCAGGAACCGACAGCCTCCCAGGATTACTCATTACAGCAGATGAGAGTCTCAACATCTTTCTGTTTTGCAGCAATTAGCTTGTAATTGAAAAAATAAATTGAAGAGATCAACACTTTTCTATTATTAGTTTTAAATAATGACTCATAAACAAGCACTTCCTTTTTCCCCAAGCTGTGAAGATCTAAGCACTAAAAATCAGATCATGGCTTCAGGCTCATTTAAACTGCAAATATCTCTGCAGAAATTACAGGAGGGTGCTGTGAATAAAATTCTTTGCTCCTAGCATAACTACTAGCTATTACCTTTCACTTAAAGATTAAAAAGCTTGGTGCAGCACATTCACCAGGAGGAGCACACAATGCTGAGACAACACACGTGTACAGAGGTCGGAAAAGCGAGAAGACGGAGGGGGAACATCACACCTCCTGCTGGTCTCTGAGCAGAACAAGGAGGCCAGCCCCAAGGCAGCTGCCCAGAACACAAAGCTGCTTCCTGAGGCTTGGACTTCCATCGTTTTCACAGCTCAGGAAAGTAATTAAGCATTTCAGCTCTCTGCCTGATCACGGAGCAATTCAGAGAGATGCAGATTCAGCTGATGAGACACAAAGCCTGTCTCCAAAAGCTGCATCCTTTGGGAAGCAGCCTGCAGGCACTGAGCACAGTGGGCCACCATCACTGCTGCAGCAGGGCCCAGCAAGGCAGGTGACTAAATCTGCTTTGGTCTGTTGCTACAAGCAGATGAGGGCACAGCATCGCAAGCAGTAGCTGGCAAACTGAAAACAAATGAATTCAGAGATCACCTCGATGCACACAAACTGAAAGAAATCTTTCAGCTTTTCTTCACCCAGGGGTAAATATCCACACCCTGCCACACTCCCCTAAAGCACTGGGAGTTGTGTTATATCCCCATTGCTGCAAGTTACCTGTGCTGAGCACAGCAGACATCATATCACAGAAGATTCTCCAATGCTAGCAATGCAGAGGCTGAGCAAATGCAGTGTTCTGTACAGCACAGCTCCTCCACCACGCTGCTGGAAGTGGAAGCAGAGCAGAGGCTCTGGGCTGGCCATCTGCACATCCTGAATCACCCCGTGGGCCTCAACCATTTCCCTCCTGTGATCCTGGCTGTGAGCTGCATGCCTCACCGCAGCACGGGTGCTCGGGCACTGAGTGACCCATCTGCTGGGCTCCCAGCCCTGAAGAGATTCAAGTGCCCTGCAACATCACAAACAGCCTTGAGATGACACACAGAGGCAAATGCATCAGCACTTTTTAGGTTTTTCTTTCACTTCTTTTTTTTTTTTTTTATTCCTTCCTTTCCTTTGCCACAACACAAACTTTGTATTAAATATCTTAAATATATTAATTTTAAAAAATGTATTAATAAAAAGCTACTGAAGGACACAGCTGGCAGAGTGACCATGGGCAGTGACCCACTGCAAAACATGGAGACATTAAAAAAAAAAGGAAACCCAGAAAACAATGATAAAAATACTGGCATTTTTTTCCATATGCACAGCTGGATGGAAATATCCTGAACTTGGCATTACTGCAAAAACGGAAGGGGAAACGGTAGAAAAAATATATTCCATTGTACCAACCTTTATGGAAAAGGGAGGTAAAAGCAAAAAAAAAAAAATGAGGAGGCTTTAAACATTTTTGGTATTTCAGATGTTCCCTCCCCCACCCGCAGCCCAATCACTTTTAGTCTTTAAGCAAGTTTTCTGGCTTGGGGTAGCCAAAGAGCACAAAGTCTGCCTCATACAGCTTGTAGAGCTGCTGCCTCCAAGCCAGGGGGATTTTAGCAAACCAGTCATCCTCCCAGCTGCTGGCAGTCCTGTTCCGGTAGCTGGGGGGGAAGCGGAGCAGCCTGTCCACCTTGAGAAGCTGCAAGAGATAAGCAGCATCCTCATCCAGAGTCTCCAGCTTCCCGATGAAATCATAGTCTATCTGGCACGGGTGGCACAGCCGGTACACCTGCCGCCAGTGCTCGTTGAAAGGGGCCATCTTCTCTGTCCTGGGATCCAGTAAGTACTGGATGAAGTCAGAAAAGGAGACTTTGAGGCCGGCCCCGAAGGCCTCGCTAACAGAGGTGGGAAGGTTGGTATGGTTGGAGTACAGCTTTAGCATGGGGATGGCAAAACGCCGGTAGAACTCCTCGTTCTCCAGCTCAAATTTGCTGCGAAAGGCAGAGATGAGGCGGACAAAAGGGTCCCTCACAAAGAGGAACTTTGTGTATTTCTTCAGTTTGATCTTCATGAGATGCCGGGAGAATTTCCCGTATCGACGCCAGAATTTGTTGAAAGTCAAGTGGGTGCTGGTATTGTGGACGTGCTCCCGTGGGATGTCCAGGGGGTTCCGGTATGGGACTCCTTGGTCCAGCAGGCTCTCACTCAGCACAATCATCACCCGTTTCCAGTTGGTGCAGGCAACCTTGGGGACGTAGCAGTAGATGATGCCGTGGCGGTCATCCACAATCAGATGGTTGAGCTCATAGTTTGGGATGTCATCAAAGGAGCGCTCCTTGGTGGGGAAGGCAAAGCTGGAATTGGAACAAAACTCCCGCAGCGTTCTCTGCCTCTCTATCTGCAGCTTCTCTTGGTCCAAGCTGTTTCTGGCATTGTGCGTCGACCAGTCATAGCCCCGTATGTTCTCCTCCAAATTGCTCACCACAGGCTTGTTGGAGCCCTGGACGAGCAGCTGCTCTGTCTTTCGGGAAGTAGAGCTGTTCTGTTTCAGGCTTGAACTAAGCAGCTTTGCTAAAAACTCATCCACCTCTGGCAAGGCTTCCCAGTCCCCACCTGCAGTGATACCAGGGATGGACTCTGGGGAATGAGGCCTGGAGAAGGATGTGTGCAGGTAGAAGTGAGCTGTTCCCACGTTGTCCCAGTAGACGATGATCAGGAGGATCATGAAGATGGAGACCAGCACCACAGAGAGACGGAGGAGCCGTGCTTTGGTCATCCTGACAGCTACCACAATAGCTGGCCTTCCCATGGATTCACCTCTGGCTCGCAGAGCGAGGGCTGGGATCTTGCATGGTGCTGCAGACCATGAGCCTGGAAAGGAACCAGAAATAAAGTCAGTCCATTTCTTAACTACTCTGGTTTAGAGACAATGACCTTGCACGATCAAGGCTCTGCACAGGGCTGACCATCTCACAGTATTGCACAGGAAGAGCTGTGTGCTCCCCAAGTACCTACAGTGGCTACACAGAGAGGCACCAATTCTCTTGTAGACGAAGCCCGACCTTCCCTCCTGTTGGCCCTCCCTTGGCAGTTTTAAGGGCATCTGGTTCTGCAACTGAGCAGATGGGGCCATGAGATCTCAAAGTATCCCAGGGACAGACCACAGCCTTCAGCTTCTGCTCCAGCTCCTTCCTCGAGGAGGAAAAGCTGCACTCATCCTATGAACCAGGGGACACTGTCAGGAGTGGACATTCGGGCTCCTAGAGGCTAGCCTGGAATTCACTTGAAAGCTCTGATTTTCTGTCCAAAAGGAGACATAACATGTTACAAGTTTACTCATTTCCATAGCAACAAAGGTTTGTTCATCACTCTCCAGCTTCCTGAATCGCACGATTTCATCAGGAGTTCTGTTTCCATTTAAAAACAAATAAACAAAAATATTAACATTTCAGGCCTCAAGTTATCAGAGGGAAGTGTTGGAGTATTAAAAATCTAAAACCATACACAGAAAGTACCAACTGCCTTGCAGACCTCCTAGATTTTTAAGCATATCTAACACACCAAGCAAGAGGGCTCGATCCATGACTTCAGCTTTTGGGATCACATTGCAGTCCCATCTCGCCCATAAAGACACTCTGAGCCACTGTACTAAAAACAAAAGCCTTATCAGACTTCTAAACACGTAGGCACATTGCCTCAGTGGCTAAAGAAAGCTTGTGTTGACAGAACATCACCGACCGAACACACTGTTTCATCTAATCTGTGCGAAGGCACCCAGAGGATGTCACCTCCACCACCTTTCTTGGTAACTACTTCATTTTGTCAAGGGCAGCAATTACACCAACAGTTTCCCTGTGAAAACCCACAGGGACACAACCCTGACAACAGCTAAGCATCAATGAAAACCTGGAAGAATGATTACTTTTAGCCAAATTGTTTCTGAGATTAAGGATGCTCTGGTAGATCTCTGTCCACTTCTGGGCTGTGTGCAAGTCAGTCACTTTCCCAGCTTAACGTAACGTTTCTGTCAGCATCACCCCTAACAGCTCCCAGTCTCCAAAGGCAGGTGAGAAATCACTGTTACATGATCCTTCCTGGAGGGTGCAGAGATTCCTTCTCGTGGCTGTTGGATGAACACAAAGATGTTCACTCCTCACCAGCAGGTGCGAGGTTCGACAGTCCCAACAGTCCTGAACACCCCAGAATTGAGGAGCAAAGACTGACGGCAGTGGAGGAACAATGCAGGAAAGCCAGGAGCAGCTCTATGACATTTTGGGAGAGAATTCAAAGCCTGCTGTTTCACACAGACTATCTGTGAGGGTTAGAATCAAAAGCCAAGCACAAAAGCGGGCACCCCACAGTCTTGAAAAGATTATTCCCCAGCCAGTTCAGTTCTTGGACAGCACCAACCCTATGCTGTATATGGATGCAAAGAACCCCAGAGTCCAGATATGCAGAAGTATTGAACCCCTTTGCTCTCTATGGGCAACATGCTCAGCACCTGTGAAAGCTACAGAAGCCTTAAATTGAGTCACTTGTCTAAAGAGCCACCTCCATGGCTGTGTTCATGCCTCAGACACAGCAGATTTTAACAAGCAAAGTCCTGATTTCAAGCACTAGACCAAAAGCATTAGACCAGAATTTACTAATGAACAGGAACAACATCAAAGTATTAGCCCAGTTTGTCCCAAAAGACGTAAAATGCAGAACTGTGGGTTTGGGATTTTTCCACCAATGTATTTATTTGCATTTTGGAGGTAGGGAGAGCCAGAAACTCAGCATAGCTGTAGCCTACCACGTGGCATCACAGTGCAGCACCAACGGCTGTGCTCCTTGGAGTCAGGCTCTTATCCTACATCTCAAAAGGAGCTGGAAGAACCAGGCAGACACAACGCACAGCACTCTGCAGAGCAAAGCACCACTCAGCAGCAATCCTCTAGGTTTAGCTCATTTAGGATAAGGATGGATCAAATCTAGGAAGAAGCACCCAGAGATGAGCATGGAGTTAAGGAAGGGGAAAATTACATATGTGCGTCAGCACTCCAGGCCAACATCTCAGCCCAACAACAGAAGATAATGGAGTGATGCTGCCAAGCCTACTGCTTGGCACATCTCTGGTTGTGCATTTTGCCTCAATCTGTTCTTGCTTTTGAGACAGTTAGCTGTTCAGGGCAGGGAATGCTTCCTATTCTGGATGAATACGGCGCCTGCTGCGTACACAATCCCTAGCACGCTGGGTTTCAGGGTGGCTGGAATGCAGTAAGTCTGGAAAGCTGCAAAGAGCATCCATCCTTTCTTGCCATCTCCCCATGCCCAGCAGCTCCCACAGCTCCAGACTGCTGCCAGCATTTCTACAGAGCTGTCCCACCCAGCGCAGACAGATTATACTCTCAGCACCAATAGAAGAAGCCCAGCACTGTGTGTGGCACAGCCAGCACACGCATTCCTCTGGGTAAAAGGAAGGATGCTCCTCATTAGAGCCACCCCGATCACATCGCTCCCTCCAGAAGCCCAAGGGTTCATGCCTGCTTTCCAGGACACAGCGCACAGCCTCAGCATTTGGCTTTCCCAAGTCACACAGCAGAGAGCAGCACAGAATTGAAATGACTCTGCTCCCATTGACTCTGTCAGCAACTGAGAGGAACCCTGGAAAAGAACAGTAGTGCAACTTAATTTCTTCTCCTGAGAAAGCTGCTGCAGAACACAGAGTTACTCTATTGACTATGATACATCCTCTTTCTGAGCACTTCATAAAGGATGCCAGGCTGAAAGCACAAATTAGAGGTCTCCGAGCACATCAGAGGGAATGTGCCTTCATTCTCCCCTTGCCAGAATCAAGAGGAAAACCTCCAGGAGAAGCCAAGAATTTACATTCAAGTTTAACCCAAAGTCACCAGCCAACAAGAATGTGCACCAGGATCCATACAAAGCTGCTTCTGTGACACGATGCCTGCAAACTGGGAAACGGACCAAGTGCTATAATCATCCTACACAGCCTCCTGAACAGCCGTCAGGGGATTATCTCCAACCTGAACTTTGCCTGGGGGCAAACCGATGGCTTTTCTCCCAGCCTCAGTCATGACAGACACCGAGGTGCAAAGTCACCGCTGCCATCCCCTCCTTCACAAGGTACCACGTCAAATAACCATCTCTCCAGATGGTTCAAAATCCACTTAAACCAGAAATGAAGGGGAGGCCTCCCCCAGCTCTTATTGCAAAAGCCATTGCAGATCTGGCTCCTTGGGGATTTGGAAACCCTACTTGCACTTCACAGCCAGTTCGTAACCGTTTGTTCTGAGGGCAAACATCAGCTTAAGCAACTCCCGTCTCTTTCTTCCTGTCCTCTCTACAACACATCTGTGCAGCGATGTTCTCTCACTGCAGAAAGTAACTCCAGCTCTGCTTGCTCCTTTGCTGGAGCAAGAAGGTCTACAGACAATAAGAACTCACATACAGATCCATGCTGGAGATGATGGACACAACTCCTCTGTTAACAGCACTGTGCCTCCAACGGTTTCAGTTTTGCATTTCTCCTCACTTTGCATCCTCCCAGGTTTGCTCCCGGCTCCCTCGGGGAATGCTCAGCCCAGGCATCGAGAATTGGCTCACCTGCTGCACAGCCTGTTTGCCCACACACGGGGAGCTGCAGGACATCACACAGTCTTGCTCAGCCTTCACTTCTCAAGGTGGAAAGCAGTGGAATAAGAACTTTTTTAAACGCACAGAAAATAAATTCAAACCAACGCTTGTCCTTGTGGCAATTCGATTCACCAGCAGTCACCACGCAACCCATGCAGCTTTCTTTCCTCGATAAGCCTATTCTCAATGCTCCCAAGAGGAACCAGCCCAAGGCAGCGTGCTCTGCTCACTCCTGACCTCCATCCCGAGCTCCCAGCCCTCCCGGCGGTATGAGCACAGAAGATCGCAGCGTGTCCCGGTGCCCGCAGCCAACACAAACCTGGAGCCTTTGGTGCAAGTCAACATCGGCTCCAAAAGGCTCCAAATCAGCGCCCCACCGGCCGCGTTCGCCTCGGAAATGCTTTATTTAAGAGCGGTCTCGCAGCTCAAGCTCCGTCTGAAGTTCCGTCTTTCAAGTTTTCAAGCCGTCCATCGCGGTGCAGGCTGTCCCCGCTCCGCAGCGACGGCTCGGCTGCTAAAAGCCACGCACCTCGCTGGGACGGAAAGCTCTCTGCCTGCTCACCGCTCCCCGGCTTTGAGCCGCAGAGCAGCACGGAAAGCAAAGCGCACACACAGCTCCGCAGACCCCACCCGAGGGGCCGGTTAAAGGCCCACCGCCCCCAGCCGAGGGGGAAAGCCAGCGTCCGCGCACCGCCGCGCTCGCTCACCCACCGCCCCGCCGGGACGGACGGCACGGGACGGCGCTGAAGCCCTGGAGCAGCCCCGAGGGCGCAGGGCGGATGCGGGCACGGAGGCGCTGCCATTACCTGCTGCCACCGGGAGGTCCCGGCCGCCCTCGGGACCGCCGCTTTCCTCAGCCCCCGGCCCGGCTGCGCGGCAACGGAACGAAGCGGCGGCCGCTCCCACCGACCGTCCTCAGCGAAGGGCCGCTCCGCCGCTACCCGCTCCGCCGATACCCGCGGCCGCCGGCCCCGCCCCGGCCCGCCCCGCCGTGGGCGGCCCCGCGTTCACCTCCCGCGCGGGCAGCGGGGCCGGCGGCGGCGCTTCCCCCCACCTTCCCCCCCGCTTCCCCCTGTCCCGTCCCGCCGCCCCCCGCTGCTGCCGCCTCTCGCGAGACGGCGGCACGGGCAGCTCGGCGGGGCCGTGGCGCAGGCGCTGCTCCGCCCGTCGGCGGGAGGCCCGGCCCGGAGCGCGTTGCCCCTGGAGGTCGCTTCTGCCGTTCGAAGCCGCGGCCGGCACTCAGCCCCTACGGGAGCGGGGCTCGGGCGTCGCGGAGCCGGCCATTTTCCTGCTGGTTGAAGGGGGAAACGGCGCGGCCTTTAGGGGTCTGTCCCAGTAGACGGGAGCAGGATGTAAGCGGTGACACAGCACAGCCAAAGGCTGCTGCTCGAAAAGCACAGGATGGTTTAAATTCCATCTCCTACTCTTAGAGATCGAGAAAAGTCCTCAGGAGAGGAGCAGGAGGTGGCTGTGGGCTGCAGCCTCCGTTCCAGCGGCTCTCAAAGCTGCAAACAGGACTTCCACGTTCTGCTTCTGAGCTCTCAGCCCCCACGTTTCGTACTTCTTAACATCAGCTTAAAACGTAGGTTTTACAGGCAGGGAAACGGGCGCATCGCACGGCCCCGCGCCCTTCACAGCAGCTGCGGCCAATGGTCCGACTCGTGACAGCCTCCCCGCAGAGATGCAGCCTCAAAGCAGTGCATCAGACTCCAGCCCTTGCTTTAAATAGCTCTGAACACTGCAACTTTTCATGGTGATTCAGCCCAAAGGTATGCAGTGGAGATGTATGCACTCGGAAAACTCCACTTTCCCCTCACTTTTGCTCCTTCAGTGCTCGCAGGTCACGTGAGGTTTTGTAAATAGAGGTTGGCTTAAGCCTTGGTAGCCCAGGTTTGTTTTACAGACACGCTGTGCTTATTTTATCTGTCTTTTTTTGTATCTTCATTTATGTGAGAGTCCACACAAGGAACAAGTTTTCCTGACCTCTCTGCTTCGCAGTTGCACCTCCTCCTACTTAGTAAGTAAAATTGGTTGCATTCTTGTGCCCATTCACATGCTTGTATTGCATCCCACTACAGGAGTTTGAGGCATTTTACAAATAAACATAATTTAAGCTTCCTTGTCCCTGGAGTGAACTACCCCTCATCTTCCTGCCGGGCTGCAAAGCAGGAGGCACAGAGGGATGGAGATGATCCCAGTGTCACAGCAAGTCAGAGCACATAGGATTTTTTGCAAGTCCTGCAGCTGTAAAAATGGTTTTGATCCACGTGAGGAATGCATGAACCTACCTGAGAACGTCAGCTTTAAATGCTTCTTGGCAGACCCAGGAGAGCAGTCAGGTCTCTGTGCTCTGGCATGAAGTCATTGTTCAATGGAATGACCAGAACGACTTTATTTGAAACACATTTAAAAGCTGGAAAAAGAACAATTGAGAAGGCTGCTGGCTGGAGCTGTACGTTCCAAAGAGAATAACCTCATTCCTGCTATTAACATCCAGACTAGCTCTTATCAGGGTCTTCACGTATCACCACGCTGCTTCTCCTGGCTGCGGTCAGACCTGAAATGCTTGCCACCTGGAAAAGAGCTTGCAGCAGTCTCTGGCTGCTCCCACAGCCAAACATCTGCTCACCCAAAGAGCGTTCCAGGAGTGCATCACACCTCTCAGCTCCACAGGAATGGCAGAGAAGAAAGGCAAAGGTATTTCTGGGCCTTTTCCATTTGGATCTAATGGTCAGGGAACCTGCTGGATATGGCTGCCATCCACACATTTGCCCTGGGAAAAAGGCAGTGTGGGTTTCATCTTGTAGGAGAGCACTGCTGGGAAAATGAGGTTTTCTTCTTGCCCTCTGTTAACAGCTTGTCTTAAAGTGAAACTAATACCTAACGCACACGGAACAGAAGTAGGGTAGAAAAAGTCATATTGAAAATGTAAGTTCCCATTCCCCACTGCTTTTCAGCAACACAGAAGCTAAAATGCAGACTAAGGCATGCTCCTCCTGAACCCTCCCCTGTGGGTAGTGGTAGCAGGGGCCTCACACCTCGACTGTTAGAGAACTATTGTTGACTACTGACTACATTGTTGACTATTTGTTTCATTCCTTGCCAGATTCACTGACAAAAGAAACAATCCTCAGGGCAGAACAATCAGTGTTTTAAAAGTTTCGCCTTGCCTCTCTCCTTAATGAAGTGTAATGAGCCATAGAGCAGAGCTCTGTGTCCAAACACAGCATCAGAGCCTATGATGACCCAAGCTATGGACTCTGTCACTGCTCTGAGAGTCAGGATTTCACACAGCCAACGCCACTCCTCAATATCAAAGCTCTCTTCAGGGGCACATTTGTGACAATGATCACATTTTAATGTTGGGGAAGATGGAAAAAAGGTTGTGTTGTCCTGACCAAATTCTGGGCAATTCCCAGAAGGCAACACAGAGTGGCCAGGGACCCTGTGTCCACAGGGAAAACACTGAGGGATCCACAGAGTGAAAATGCTATCATAGATCATTGCTCATCTTCCTTCACCTCATCTTCTCCTTTTATTTCTCCTTCCTGCACAACCCTAATTCTCTTCTCTACATAGGGATTCCCATACATTGCCCTCCAAATCACCGCCTTCCATCTATCATTCCTGACGTTCTACACCCCAGTCCATATCAGACACCTCATCCTCTGTCTTCCCACTAATCCACCCTCTTGTCTTGTCCCTCATATTCTTTTCACCCACCAACCTCACACTGCTTTCAACTCTTTTTCATTTGCTCTTTTTTTTTACCACTTTGTATCACACACACAGTCTCCACTCTACATCTCCGCTCCTCAAGTTTCCTCTCCTTCCATCCACTACATCCTACATTTCCACACTGCTTTTAAACACTAACCACTCTTCCCTTGTGACTTGTTTCCTTATTTCCTTGTCTTGATGGGTTTTGCTTGATAAACACAGCTCAGGGGCATTCGAGGTTCTTCAAAGGAGGTGCTGTCCTGATGTTTGCAATCATAACAGTGCTGCTGTTATGAGTCCTGGAGGGATGGATGCAGCTTTGCCATGGTTAGAATGGAGGTGATGGGGACTGCTCAGGGCTGAGCCCCTGCAAGTCAGTCATTGGGACTCTAGTGGAGAATCCATTAGGAGTGAAGGACGTGCTGGTAAAAGACCATTCATTAGGCTTTCTTTCCATCAACAGCAAGATCAATAAGTAATTAACTTTCTGCAATAGGATTTTTGCAAGAAAATCACAGTTCCCCCCAAAACACTGGCAGCTTCTCAATTCTGCCCACAGCAGAAACCTTCAGTTTCTCTCCATCCTTTCTCCTCCTCGTCATCCTCTGGAAAACAAATCAGTCAGGCAGCAACAGCAGTAACTCAGCAGCAAGGCCTGAGGTAAGGTTCATAAACAGAGCTGTAAAGAATCCACAAAGTAACCAGGGCAGCAACAAGCGTGCAGGGGATCTTTTTGATTTCCTAGGGGAGAGACGACTTACGACAGCACCATCACTCTCAGTTACAACTCCTGCTGCCCCAGTAACACCCAAATTTATTGGCCAATTTCAGCCGAACCTTACAGAAGGGATGAAAACACTCCCAGGCAGTGAGTTTATAGGAAGGACTGGAACACTGACTGCATAGCAAAGTCCACACAAAACCCCAGAGGAGTGTTCCAAGCGGGATAAAGTTGATGCATGGAGATACTCTCTTTACTTTTGATTATTTCCTTGGACTCTGAACGTGGAATGCTTTGCTTATTCTTTGTACCTGCTGAAGAAAGGAGTAAATTCAATAGAAAGGATAAGGTCGGGGAGGGAAAGTGCCAGCAGGGCTCCAAAAACATGAGGGTGCTACACTAGAATTTCCCATGAAAGAAAATGAATGTATCTGAATTGCTTTTGAGAAGCAAGGCTGCAGGCACAAAATACTGTGAGTGGAGTCACAGATACTAGCTTGAAAACTAGCAGCTGGTGCAAGATGCATGGGAAATGGTATTGGGTCAGTGCAGGGCCATGGCAACATTGCATCCAACTCATCCCCACACAGGCAAGAGGGGCACAGGACCTCTAAGCTGATTCAGACAGAGGAACTCTGACAGAAAATAATTAAGTTATTTGGGAGCAGAAGTGCCCAAGGTCACCTTGCAAAGCCTCTTCTGCTCAAGGACTGATTTGTCATTCCATTTGCAGCTCTTACCAGGGGAAAAAAACAACAGAGGTTGGAGGGGGGGGGGGGGGAAAAAAGAATTGAATCAAGTTAAGGTCCAGATTGGTTTTGTTTCTTCTCAGTCCCTTAGGATCTATTTTGGTATATAATTATTACAGTATATAATTACAGCGTAGAAGAGTATTCTTCCTCCTCCACTGACATGGCTCAGGAGGCATTCAAACCTTGAGGGAAGGGACCAAGATCCCTGAACCTTGTATTCAAAGCGCCAGATTAACAGG